TAGTGATAGATGGGCTTTTTGGTGTAGTTCGCTGTAGAGAGTTCGTTATATGCGTACATTTTATATGATATTATATTGGAGATAAATCGGGGAGTTTTTAACAGTTCGTTGTATCCGTTAGTTCGCTGTAGATAGTTCGTTATATACGTAAATTTTATATGATATTATATAGGAGATAAATCGGGGATTTTTTAACAGTTCGTTGTATCTGTTTGTTCGTTATATCCGTGTTGGTTATATCCGTGTTGTACTGTATTAAACTTGCAGGATAATGCCCATACAGACACAGGAAAGGTTTGATGGACACCCAGTTCTTCATAACGAAGAATATCTTAGGTATCATATTTCTGTCCATGTGTTTTTTCGCAATGCTTGAAATGTCAATATATACTACTCAAAAGAAGTTAAAGAACACCCAACTCATTCATATTACTACATGTATATATAGTTAATCTTTCATGCCATGTATAGTAATATGAAAGTGAGTGAGTATGGTTTTACGCCACTTTTAGCAATATTCCAGCAATATCACTGCGGGGGACACCAGAAATGGGCTTCACACATTGTACCCATGTCGGGAATCGAACCCTGGTCTTCGGCGTGACGAACGAACGCTTTAACCACTAGGCTACCCGACCGCCAGTAATATGAGTGAGTGAGTGAGTATGGTTTTACACCGCTTTTAGCAATATTCCAGCAATATCACGGCGGGGGACACCAGAAATGGGCTTCACACATTGTACCCATGTCGGGAATCGAACCCTGGTCTTCGGCGTGACGAACGAACGCTTTAACCACTAGGCTACCCGACCGCCAGTAATATGAGTGAGTGAGTGAGTATGGTTTTACGCCGCTTTTAGCAATACAGCAATATCACGGCGGGGGACACCAGAAATGGGCTTCACGAATTGTACCCATGTCAGGAATCGAACCCGGTCTTCGGCGTGACGAACGAACGTTTTAACCAATAGGCTACACGACCGCCAGTAATATGAAAGAACCGGGTGTTCTTTAACTTATTTTGAGTAGTATATCAGTGAACATCATCTCTTTATAAAACCGTTCACGAGACTAAGGAAGAGAACATATGGATGCCAACTACTATATTATGAGTTGACATCCATATATCCATACATCCATATATTCTCTTCCTTATGTGTATCGCTTCTAAATGCCTTTCAAAGACCCGGTTCAAGAGACTGTTAATTAATCACGTGACCCTGATAGTCAAGACGTGTCAGCCATCACACAAAGAAGATGGGAAAAATGACAATGTACGAGTACGTTTTTACGTTTCGCCAACATTTGATTGAACTCGACAAATGATTTTACAAACTGTTGGTACGATGTTCACACTTACGTGCGGTGCTAAACGTTGTTTTTTTAAATTATTAGTGAGGGTGAAAAACATCCTGTCATTTCAATTCACAAGACGAAAGCCGTGTTTTTTCTAATAGACGCCACCGGGTTGCATGTATATTTTTGGAAATTATGATGACCAATCATTTTTCAGACCCAGTGTCAGTGTTCAACTTCAGTAAGTAAGGGACCATTCATTATCTCATTTCTACAGGAGAGGGGGGCACGGGTGGCCCAGTCGTCTAAGGCGGCGCGATTCGCTGTGCAGAGTAGCGTCCCTTGGGCACGCCAGAAACCTATGATTGTGGGTTCGAATCCCGGTTCGCCCCGATTATGTTTCTAGGTTTGTCAGCACCATACCCGTGCTCGTGGGTTTCACTGAAGTGGTAAACGTCTAAGACCTGCATCACTTCTGGCTTTCCTCCCACATTAAGCTGACACCCCGCGATATAACTGGAATACTGTTAAAAGCGGCGTTAAACCCAACTCACTCACTCACTCTAAAGGAGAGCCATTTATTTTACTGTTTTACTTAACTGCCGGGCAAAAGAAAGTATACACTTGAAAATTGGATTTGACCAAAAAAGGACAAAAGTTACCAAAACGTTCCTTGGCTTAAAACAGTCGCCGAAACACTGCAAAGTTAACATACAAAACATAACTATAATACCCGTATAAAATACATCACCATCGAATAAGCATTTCTTGTTTTATTCTTTGCCACCACAAGCATGGGTGTATACTTTCTTTTGGACGTCAGTTTAGATAGAATACTACAGCACGGCCTCTATTCTTCAGTTTGGTTTTGTCCCGGGGTGCGTCGAGGGCTGGCGTCCCTCAGAAGAATTACGGTAATATACAAGGTGAGGCAACAGGAAGTTTCGGATGTCACCATGGAAACACTACATCGGTAAAAAGTTCTTACGAAGATCTCATCAATTTAATTTAGCGTGTATATACAAAGACGTATTTCTTCTGCGTTAATGGCCGGTGGGGTAGTCTAGTGGTTGAAGAGTTCGCTGGTAACGTTAAAGGCCACACGGGTACAATGTGTGGAGCCCATTTCTGGTGTTCCCCGCCGTGATATTTTTGGAATATTGCTAAAAGCGACAAAAAACCATACTCACTCACGCTACGGAAATACGAACTCAAATGAAATTACCGTCACGCCGAAGACCCGGGTTCGATTCCCGACATGGGTACAATGTGTGAAGCCCATTTCTGGTGTCCCCCGCCGTGATATTGCTGGAATATTGCTAAAAGCGGCGTAAAACCAAACTCACTCACTCAAATGAAATAACACAAAGTAAAAGAAACTTTTGTGCCGGAACTACTTTCAGTCTGCGTCAATGACAATGTTGTTTTCTGGCTAGGATCACTAAGTAATTGATAAATAGAATAATAGGCTCCATATAATAAACCCACATCAACTTTACATTATTTGCAATAACATCACAGTAGTTATGACGTCATGTATTTTATTGTTGACGTCACGTTGAATGTAAGGTTCTCAATCTCAATAAAGAAATATTAGTTCTCGCTACTGCTCAACAAAGATCTTTGTGTAACGGCAACGAGAACTAAGAAATGATTTTAATGAGATTGGTAAGCTTTTTGACAAAAGACTCTTCTACTTCATTTCAACTTGGGGGCACGGGTGGCCCAGTCGTCTAAGGCGCCGCGATTTGCTGTGCAGAGTTGCGTCCCTTGGGCACCCCAGAAACCTATGATTGTGGGTTCGAATCCCGGTTAGCCATGATTATGTTTCTAGGTTTGTCAGCACCATACCCGTGCTCGTGGGTTTCACCGAAGTGGTAAACGTCTGAGACCTGCATCACTTCGGGCTTTCCTCCCACATTAAGCTGACACGCCGTGATATAACTGGAATACTGTTAAAAGCGGCGTTAAACCCAACTCACTCACTCACTCACTCAACTAACTACAGACCGCCTCCGTGGTCTAGTGGTTGAGCGTCCCTGACCGCGTCATACCAAAAGATGGTACTTGTTGTTACCCTGTCTGGCGCTCGGCATAAAGGGGCTAAAACAGGGACTGGTCGGCTCGGAGTCAGTAAACGGTGTCTGAGTGGTGTATTCATGTTAAACTGCGGCATGGTATCTCAGTGACGTTGCACTATAAATCGGCATCAGTCCGGAGTTGTGCAAGCAGCCACACACACGTCGCTATCTAAGTGCAATAATTTTCGAACGCGACGTTAAACCCCATTTCACTTCACCTCACCTACAACTAACTACAAAGCAGAAAAGAACGTTATACTCATACGCTATCAGTGATAAAAGACAGCATATTCTGCTCTCTCTAGCTGTAACGACGTCACATAACGCTATTATCAATGGATAAAGTCCAGACAATGCGTTCGTATGACGTCATGTTGCCATGGGCATCTTCGCAACCAATGAAATCAGGGAACAATTGATGTGATGCTCAGTGAGAATTACTGAAAATAATTTTCCCAATATCCGTGCCGTTATGGTTAAAGTAAGCCCATTCATCTTGCAAAGCCAATCCCACCTCGCTAAACTCACACGTGAGACTCATAATCAACGTGACGTCATCTTCTACTATTTTGTTTGTTTCTTTGTTGTTTAACGGCGCACTCAGCAATATTTCAGCCGTCTGTAAATAATCTGGAGACCCGTGAAGATCCGGGGTAGAATAGGTCTTCAGCAACCCATTCTTGCCATAAAAGGCGACAACGCTTGTCGTAAGAGGCGACTAACGGGATCGGGTGGTCAGGCTCGCTGACTTGGTTGATGCAAGTAATCCATCCAAATTGCGTGGATCGATGCTCATGATATTAATTACTGGATTGTCTGGTCCAGACTTGATTATTTGCAGACCGCCGTCATATAGCTGGAATATTGCTGAGTGCGGCGTTACACAATAAACCAACCAACCAAATAATCTGGACCAGACAATCCAATGATTCACGTCATGAGCATCGATCTACGCAAATTCCATTAGATGGCATGTTTCTAACAAGTATGCATTTCGTTAACAATGGTACCTGCATTGCATATTTAAGCTGTCGAGCTCGTGAAAGTATTTATTAAGCGTGGACTTAAGCGTGAATTCGCATATTTGTAACCTTATGCGTTTAATAATACAAAACATGTATATGCAGACAAAACCGTTACTTTAACATATGAAATAATAATAATAATAATTCTTTGATGACATTCTCGCTTCTCCTTCACTTATATTCAAATAGGCTTAATGTAACAGTTGCAATAAACGTTGCTACACGCCTGGGGAACACGTCAGTTCGCATGCGTATATATATACTAGTATATATATATGGTTGTGTGTGTATATTAAATGGGTCAATTTGCAATGCTCATTCATAAACGATACCAACCTGTCATCATTCATATATAGACCTAGATCTATATAGATCTACCGCGTCGATTGAACAAGCAATGTCAAATAAACTGTGAAAAATTCAAAGACTTGTTTTGTTGTTTTTTAAAAAAAGAGGCTTTAATGACAAATGCATGTTGGAAAATCGATATCGACAGCGAGCGCCGGTACCTAGTGCGACTTCAACACACATTTCATAATTAATGGAGAAAACGGAATGTGTTCACTTAATGTTTACATGTGACGTCACGGCTCCGGCGCAGTGATACTGTAATACAATTATTATGATATTGAGCGCGCGACACGGGCGAATATACGCTATACTGGTCATGAAACAATGCTGATTTTCGTTATTTAAGTTGTAGTATTTCGACGTGAGGTGTTTGAATTGAGGAAAAGGACCTATGTTCTGCTGCGCATGACTGTTTGCGGTCCACATCGCCGTGAAAAGGAAGGCGACAGCCTTCACTGACTAAAATGGATTCTGAGCATCAGAGTATGTGGCGATGGATGGTGATTGTATGTTTGATGGTAGCTGGGTTTGGCGGTGAGTAGAATGCTTTAAATTACGCATGCATGCTAAAATAAGTAAATAATTAGATTGACAGCCGTGTGTGTAAACATGTTCGACCCAACTTGCACGTGCATAACGTGCGGAATGGATCCGTTTAGTAATACCGGACCGCAACATAATGCGGAGCAATGTCAAATGTCATATGGAAATATGACCATTGTTATTTTTGTTTTTCAGCTCAAAATAGCGAAGGGAGAAGTGTTGTTAGCGAGGAACAGTTTAATAATGTGTATGTTAAACGTCAGTTGGAAAATATACACAAACGATCGCTTCTGGCAAACATGTTGAGGATAGATGTTACTAAATATAGCCACGTGGGGAAGGAGAGAGAGACCCATGGACGAATGAAGCGTTACGCTCCGTCTGTGAGCGTTCGAAGCGAGATACCTCCGGAGTATATTGTCGTGGTGGTGAGTACAACTTATTCAAACCAGATTCTGTAGCCTCACGAACACGTCCCTTTCCCAAACTATTAATAATTGATTTCTTCAAAAGCATCTCCAAACACACTCAGAGTCATACCCCCCCCCCCCCCAACAGATTATGTGCATACTGTAAGAAGATAGTCCAAAGGTACATCATAGTATTCTTTAGTGCGTGTGTGTGTGTGTTTTGGGGGCATTTTTTAAAACATAATTAGGAGGGTCACATTTGGAAATACATACCTTAAGTTTAAAGATGTTAAAAAATTTGTGTTGCATTTTGAAATTGTTTCAATCAATGGTGGTGGGTTCTATATGGAAAGTTTTATATATATATAACATTGGTAATTTTGTGTTTGTTTTCTGCTTGGTACCATGTTATTTCTTCCCACATGACACTGACATGCCATCATTATTCAGATATTGTTCACAGAAGTGTTACATTGAACTCATTCTCTCAATATCAGCACTATATCAGCACTATATCAATGTATTATTTGAAATGGTCATCAATACACAGTGCACCTGTAGTGAAGAGTGTTGCTTAGTTGACATTAACATGTAACCCATTGGACAATGATGATGGGACAGCATGCTTATTTGGGCCAACAAATTTCCGGGTCCTCGGAATTCAAATCTTCTGATTTAAAATCTAGTCCCCCTTAAAAATCTAGATTAAAATTGGTGTTAAGCAACCCATGCTTGTCATAAGAGGTAAGTTATGGGATCAGTGGTCAAGCTTGTTGACTTGGTTGATGCATGTCATTGTATACTAATTGCGTGGATGGATGCTCATGATGTCAATCACTGAATTGTCTGGTCCAAACACGATTATTTACAGATTGCCATCATATAGGTTGTGTTATGCTTTAAAGAACCAGCAAGCAAACAAAATGAACCCATCTCCAGTCCTGTTATGTAGTAATTGATATCACTTCTTCAGTGCTGTTGTATATCAGCTGATATCACTTCTCCAGTACTGTTGTATATCAGCTGATATTACTTCTACAGTGCTGTTGTATATCAGCTGATGTCACTTCTACAGTGCTGTTGTATATCAGCTGATCTCACCTCTCCAGTACTGTTGTATATCAGCTGATATGACTTCTACCGTGCTGTTGTATATCAGCTGATATCACTTCTACAGTGCTGTTGTTTGTCAGCTGATATCAGTTTTCCAGTGCTGTTGTATATCAGCTGATATCACTTCTACAATGCAATTGTATGTCAGCTGATATCACTTCTACTAGTGCTGTTGAAAATCAGCTGATAACACCTTTCCAGTGCTGTTGGGGATAAAATCTTGTGGGTTTATACATTTCACCTAATTGTAAAACAGAGTAGGACAGGACAAAAAGGAAAAGTCAAAAGTCATTTTTTATTTTTGTCTAATTTCAGGTGGTTTTTTTGAGTCAATTGGTCTCATAAACCAATGAAAAAAGTATATTGCCTGATTAGTCAATCCTAAGCCCCCGTAGCAACATATAGAAAAAGTACATAATCAACGATGAGGAAATCAGAGGATATGGTAACCACAGCTACTAATATATCAATTAATCCCCATATGTTTGTTTTGTAAATAATGGATGATCAACTGGTTTTTCTTGAGGGCAATTACTCAGGCCCCTCAACTGAAGCAAAGGAAAGGCACGTTGCTCAAATATAAATCTAGCTACTGGTTCATTGTCATTTGCTGGTATATGTGTCCCATATTTAGATTAACAAGAGTTTGCCACTAACGTGGCTATATCCCCCGCCCCTGTTGCAGAATTTATGACATAATTAAATCTAAACAAACCCTAACCTTTTTTAACCGAGGTGGAACTTGTCATGGAAATTGTAAAAAAAAGAAGAGTTTGGAACCTAAGTCCATCTTGCTGCGATGGAAACGTAACAATAAAAAAAATTCTAAAATTTCTAAATAGCAAAAGGCACCAGTTCAGCATGTACCTGACAAACCTGCAAAGTTTGATGAAAAAATATTGAACGGTTTATGAGTTATGCTCCGGAAACGAAACGTGATGGATGGACGGACGGACGGAAGTAAGGACGGACGGACGGAGCCCGTTTCTATATCCCCCGCCAAATTTGTTGGGCAGGGGATAATAACATAATTGCATGATTTCGGTGAAAATTATATACACTGATCAGTATATAAAGATTATTAATATCCTCTGTGTACCACCCTGATATCTGTTATACTATATTATTCTTGTAAATTGGCCACTGGCCTCAATTACAGAAATTAAGAATTGTCTTGGTGAAAGTATTTTTAAAAAACGGAAATGTTACTTGCGGAATGTAAAAACCTTCAAAGGAAAAAAAATCCTCTTTTTTGTTTCCTAAAAAATATTTATAGTTTGTGCAAGACTGGAAAGGGAGGACCCTGTGTTATATCATTATCTGTGTGTGAAGGTTTATAATCACGCTTCATGATCAACAGACCCAATACATTTGTAATTGCGCTTCTAAGTCTGTTTTCCATATAATGTAATCACCTTTTTCAGGGTTCCCTCAGGAACAATGAAATAAGCCAGCTCTCGATCCAGTACCAGCTCTATGCACTTTGGGGATTATGAATTATTAGCATCATGAAGGGGTCATCTCAAAGACTGGGATACATATTTAATATGATTGTGTTCGTTCTAAGTGTAATAATTGTCCTGAAACTAAAGGATGGTCTTTGTATTAATATTTCAGTACATTTTCTAGATATTTCTGTGTTTATATGGGTGCAGAGGGGGCCCAGATGTTTCAGGTGCTGCAATTCGCTACGCAGAGTTGCGTCCCTTGGGCATGCCAGAAACCTATGATTGTGGGTTCAAATATTTCTTTGCCCTGATTATGGTTCTAGGTTTGTCAGCATCGTACCCATGGTCGTTTTACCAAAGTGGTAAACGTCAGAGACCTGCATCACTTCAGGCTTTCCTCCCACATTAAACTGACATGCTGTGATGGAGCTGTGTTATCATTATATCATCACAACAAAACATTGTTGATATAACGTTGGCAAGGCCCTGTGTGGGACTGTTATTATATATCATCACAACAAAACATTGTTGATAGAACATTGGCAAGGCTCTGTGTGGATCTGTTATTATATATCATCACAACAACACATTGTTGATATAACATTGGCAAGGCCCTGTGTGGGACTGTTATTATATATCATCACAACAAAAATTGTTGATATAACATGGGCAAGGCTCTGTGTGGAGCTGTTATTATATATCATCACAACAAAACATTGTTGATATAACATTGGCAAGGCCCTGTGTGGAGCTGTTATTATATATCATCACAACAAAACATTGTTGATATAACATGGGCAAGGCCCTGTGTGGGACTGTTATTATATATCATCACAACAACACATTGTTGATATAACATTGGCAAGGCCCTGTATGGGACTGTTATTATATATCATCACAACAACACATTGTTGATATAACATTGGCAAGGCCCTGTGTGGAGCTGTTATTATATATCATCACAACAAAACATTGTTGATATAACATGGGCAAGGCCCTGTGTGGATCTGTTATTATATATCATCACAACAAAACATTGTTGATATAACATGGGCAAGGCCCTGTGTGGATCTGTTATTATATATCATCACAACAAAACATTGTTGATATAACATTTGCAAGGCCCTGTGTGGGGCTATTATATATCATCACAACAACACATTGTTGATATAACATTGGCAAGGCCCTGTGTGGAGCTGTTATTATATATCATCACAACAAAACATTGTTGATGTAACATCGGCAAGGCCCTGTGTGGAGCTATTATATATCATCACAACAAAACATTGTTGATATAACATTGGCAAGGCCCTGTGTGGAGCTGTTATTATATATCATCACAACAAAACATTGTTGATATAACATGGGCAGGGCCCTGTGTGGAGCTGTTATTATATATCATCACAACAAAACATTGTTGATATAACATGGGAAAGGCCCTGTGTGGAGCTGTTATTATATGTCATCTCAACAAAACACTATTGATAGAACATTGGCCAGGCCCTGTGTGGGACTGTTATTATATATCATCACAGCAAAACATTGTTGATATAACATGGGAAAGGCCCTGTGTGGATCTGTTATTATATATCATCACAACAAAACATTGTTGATATTACATGGGCATTATTATGATTATGAGGGTATGCATGTAATTGACAAATACAAATCTGATACAAATCTGATACAAATTTCTAGTTTGCAGAATTTCTGTCAGTGAAGATCAGGTTTGAGTGATGCAAGATTTTCTCTACATGGGATAGTTTGTAAAAGATCTCTGAAAAAATATGCATTAACGCTTTTGAGACTTACCCTTGTCTCAGTGATGGCATGCATCTAACACACTGAAGTATAATTCCAAAGACTGACGAGTTACATAACCGTTGCTATCACACCCACACAATCCATTATACCAGCCTTTTGTGTTTTATATTTTTTTCATGGCTTCAGGTAGCACATTTTTCTGTTAAAGCAGCTGTTACAACTCCCTTACACACACTGCTGACATTCCAGGAGCCGAAAAAGGCAGAACAAATGACAAAGATGACATTGATCTTAGTTTTGCTCTCTGCAATAACGTGGGGGCCGTCAGGTAGCCTAGTGGTTAAAGCGTTCGCTCGTCACACCGAAAACCCGGGTTCGATTCCCAACATGGGTACAATGTGTGAAGCCCATTTCTGGTGTCCCCTGCCGTGATATTGCTGGAATATTGCTAAAAGCTGCACAAAACCATACTCACTCACTCACCCTGCAATAACTTAGGTTCCTATAAAGTCTTCATGATGGACATGACGTGCATCCTGTGTAAGGCCAAGTGGTATCACACTAGACAACACACCTTGCTTAGGTAACTTGAAAAAAATTGTTTCTCAGCAGTTCCAGATTTTGTAAAAGGCACGGTGTCCAGTTTTATCTCCTTCCGTTTTTTTACCACAGTTTTTGTGTACATGGGTTCAA